ACATATATATATATATATATATATATATATATATATCATACGTCTGAGGCCAGACTTGGTGCCAAACAAATGATCACAACAAACTGATAGCTGAACGCGAACTTCTACTGAAAATGACTGCACATATTCTATACTGGGTGAACACTTTTGTGAACCAATGGGAAACAGGTCAACGGGCATCGACCAGATAGGCACCATCCTCTTCCATCGTACACCATTTGCTTTCGATAAAGTATCGGTTCGACCGAACCACTACGTTTGCCATGAACCTATCCAACATCAATTCACGCTTACTGCTGTTTCCGATTCAAAGATCATGTTCTGGTTTCTTTAAGCAAAAGGAGTGATTCGTTGACTTGGTAAAAACCATGGCGGTTGTCGACTAATTACCGGTAATTTCATCCATGTTTTGTGATCACTTTTTTTGCATTATCTGCAGTCAAACTATCAATGTATCGGTATTTAGTCATTTAGTAGAACTATACCGAATACACGCACATTACATTAAACCAATCTAGACAGTTTATGTATCAAATGTCGGTAGTGGTCAAATGGTTAGGGTTATCAAGACAGCACCCTTGAGGTCCCGGAGTTCAAATCACACCAACGTTGCCACCTCCCATAACCTTTATTTCCCCAGACAGAGCTCTTGGTCGCAACCCCTTCCTGAAATGCCTTTTTTCATTACACACACTAGTGTGTGATGAACAGTAGTCATGAAGACCTACTGTTGAGTGATGATAACAGGCAACCTGATCCCCGGTACTTGGAGTGGCGTAACACACATAAGGCCCCGATAGGTTAGGCGTGGTATTGAACCGGGCGACAGCAGAGCTACCTACCATCAAGTTGAGTGGTGGTGGTGGGGCTCGAACCTCGGATCATAGGGTCCAAAGCACATCGGTGACAGCGACTAAACCACTGCACCACCACCACACTTATTTCAACACGCAATAAAGATAAAGTAAAAGCATTGTCATAGCATTTATGATTCTGTTGCGATATGGTTTGAATTTATCTATTGGTATCGCGAACATGGCTCAGGAAGAAATTAGTCGCACTATATGAACGTAGAGCATATAAACAGGAAAGGAAAACAGTAGATTCTTCTCACCGTGGTTGTCGCAAATCTTGTACTATATAGGTGAACTGAGACTTGGATAACACGCGACCTGGATCATCCTCCTCCAAACATAGGCCACCGGAACGGCATGGAAATGAACGAAGCAGGTCCAGACGACCGGTGAGTGCACATGTTCGATGCCAGGCAATCGAGTCGATTTGGGCAAACATACGTCGACAACGTTCGGTCTCGGTGAGCCATATGCTCTCGTTCATAGTTAAGCCAGACACATTCCGGGGCCAAAATGGCTCGGTCGCATTCGCGTACAGACCAAGAATGATTTCACTATCAACCAGAACCAGGGTGCCCAAAGTGGTCGTTACGTTTTGATCTTGTATAGGTGGTATGATTGGGGAGTGAAAAAAACGCATTTATGCCCAATTTTAGTATTGAGATGTGATAATACATAGTAAATTAGGACTGCACAGAAAATATCTAACCAATGGATAATTAATAACCTAATATACACCTTAATTAATATGATTATTCACATTTCAGTGAGCATCAGCCTCCCATTACGTCAGTATGGTCCGGTGTTTACGAAATGTTCATCTTCAAGTTTATGGCTTGCATACCACTTGATGTTCGCCAGATATTAACGCTAGGAGATATTGCATGGTAATTGCCAGACCGGCGTTACAGAATTAAAATAGCACAGGAGAATTGCTATTTCATAGCATTCCTTATCGGCAACAAGAGAATAAATTTATCGCATATGGAAATCCGAATTCACTATTCTCCGTGGGACTCTATCATCACGATAGGTATCTCACATGTGTGAGAGGTGTTTCAGACCAATTGGGAAACTAATCAAGCCAGACCCGTCATAATATGTTCCATACCGTCAAACACGCTCATTTTAATATCTTCTACACGGTTAGTAGACTCTTTTGGAGAACCTTCCAAAGAACCACAATCCAAGCTGTCCCCTGGACCGTTATTGATCCATGCATGTCGGGGCGGGGAAATCGGAAAGTGATATGCCCAGATCGCCTATGAACACATTCTGCGCATGTGGTGACAGACGATTCTGCATTCGACCGGTTCATTAGCACATCTGATCTATTGAAATTTCATGTGGTCAGGCACCTCAAATCTCAGGCTCATGGTTACCGATTTCTGTCGCATAACATAAACATGACGACATTAAATCATGTACGCCCTACACATTCACAAGACAAGCACGTACTCACCACCCTCACCAATATTCTTGGACTGAACCCCAACAATGATTATGTACATAAATTTCTCCTCCTTATCCTCTCGTCCTTTTCCGACCGAAACACATATCTCCCGCTCGTCAAACATCACTCACCTTAAATTCTCTAACTACACTTTCCACTGTTTTCTATCCAAAGCTGTTGTCTACACCTTTATTCAACAATCAGTCGCCGCCTACAGGATCACAAATCTTGACTTTTCCAATCGTAAATTTCAGCCGATGGGCTAAAGCTCCGAATTCTTTCCTCTAATCATTACCTTTTTGTTCCACACCGTTAACTCAATAGCGGCGACTCCTCAGTGTTTGATTTATTATCTTCGAACAGTGAACACTTATTCGTAATCGACCCCGACTACCATGTTACCGCCTTGGGAGATCTTGACGTTCATAATCAGGATTGGTTGACACACTCATCTGCTACTTCTCCCTCGGGGTCCGAAGCCGAATATTTCGCCTTGGTTAACAACCCGAGCCAACTAATCGACATCCCCAAACGTGTCCCTGATCGAGCTGACGACCGTGCCCACACCCTTGATCTAATTCTCACTTTGGTCCCTTTCTTCTTCTCGAATATTCGTACCCTCCATCCGCTTGGTTCATCGGATCATTGCACTGTTTCTTGCTTCATCAGGTTTACCAGCACTGATCTGCCACCCACCTCGAGACAGATTATGGGGATACAACCTAACCAACTGGGACGGTTTCCATGATTTCATAAATTCTTATTCTTAACGATTGTTGTTCCTCTTCGGAAAATACCCAATATGTCTTCAACTTCAACGACACTGTTCTTCAAGGTAAGCACCTTTTTATTCCGGTAACCCTAAATCCCCCGAGAGGCGGTGGTGGCCCGGTGATAACGTCACT